TATATATATATATATATAGATGCAGAACATATGGAAGAGAAGCAGAAAAAGGGTTGTACACAGAGGAGTCTGGATGAGACCAGTGACACGGACGCTGAAATATTAAACTCCAAGAAAAGGAAAAATGTACAACAGAAGGTCAGAGCAGAAATTAAAAGGTCACCTCATCTAATGAGAATTAACATCCGAAAAGTCAGCGCACACGCACATATACACACGTACACATTTTTTGGGAGGAGGAACCCATCATTTCTGATCACATGTTTTTAGTTCATTGGAAAGGTGTGTGTCATACATTTGTTTCAAATAAATAAATAAATAACTTTGTCTTACTTTGAACAATTAACGATAAGAAAAATAAATGCAACAAAGCTGATCGTGGAGCTGCTTCTTTTCCAGCCAATCGGTTTCTGCCTCAGCTGCACTTGCTATTTTATTTCTATCTCTACATGCTCTGCACTAAAAAACATCTAAATGCAGCGGTTTAACAGAAGAAAAAAAAATAAGAAAAAAAGAATATGAATGATCACTGCTGCAGTGAATACGCACTGACTCGACACACCTGCCTTCTGAATTTGTAGGAGGCTGAACAGGAACCTAATTTCAGAGTTGGTTTTTCAGGTCAGGTTTGACCTTTTTTTTCATCATAGAAAAAAACAAAACAAAACACCAAAGACTTAATAGCTTCTAAAAACCTGGAAATATGTTTTAATATTATTTTTGTTTGTTTGTTTGTTTCTAGGCTGCACCATGCTGTTAGTAAAGTTCACATTCATTTTCTTAAATAAATGCTGGGGTTGGGCTGAATCCTATTGGAGAAGATTATAGGCCTGAGCATTCAGTGTGGTGAGTCATCTCGCCTGATGTCACAGTTCCAGTCATCATTTTGATAGAACATCCCTGGAGGAAGCCTTAAGATCAGCATTACTGTAGAGAGGAATCCCACTGTGGTCTAGACACTGAGTCTGCTGCACTACGTCATTTATATGGATCTGATGTACACGACTAACAGTTTTCTGTAAAAAAACAAAAAAATATATATACACTGTAGATGTTATTTTTGTACTAATTTAACCATTTAAATGCCAATGTCAAAGCAGAAAAAAAAGTAATCCATTGCTCTAATAAAAATAATAATAATAAAGAATAGCCTTGTCATTGTTCAGGCCATAAAAAGGCGTAACCAAAATTCCTCCTACAGTCCAAAAATAGTCATTATGAAATAATTAAACCTATTGTAGCATAAAAGGTCATGGGGAGGTTGCTCTCACTCTGACAGACCATTGAATTTGGCGGCAGCAGCAGCAGCAGCAGCAGCAGTCGGTGACTTC